GTAGTGAGGTTGGCCCAGGATCGAACATTGTTTCGTTCTGCTGTGCATGGGGTCGCTATGAGTCGGTTCCGACTCGATGGCACCTGACAACAACAATAACAACAGCACTCTACAACAAAAAGACAAATAACCCAATTAAAAAATGGGCACAGGACATGAGCAGACACTTCACCAAGGAGGAGATCTGGGCAGCCAACAAACATATGAAGAAATGTTCACGATCACCAGCGATCAGAGAAATTCAAATCAAAACAACAATGACGTATCATCTCACACCAGCAATCAGCAAAGATCAAAAAAGCACAGGACAATAAATGCTGGCGGGGATGTGGAGAGACTGGGACCCTCCTACATTGCTTGTGGGACTGCAAAATGGTCCAACCTCTCTGGAAAGCAGTATGGCACTTCCTCAGAAGGTTGGAAATAGAAATATCGTATGACCCAGCAATTTTTCTACTTGGTATTTACCCACAAGAAATACGAGCCATAACACAAACAGATATTGCACACCAATGTTCATAGAAGCACTATTTACAAAAAAATGGAGACAGCCAAAATGCCCATCAATTGAAGAATGGATAAACAAACTGTGGTACATACACACAATGGAATACTACGCTACCTTGAAGAACAAGCTGCAAGCCATCGTAAAACCTTGAGGACATTATGGTGAGTGAAATTAGTTAGTCACAAAAGGTGAAATACTGCATAAGACCATTATTGTAAAAGACTAAGAAAAAGAAGGCACCTAAAAGGGGGGGGGGGATCTAAATATACCAGTGCTGATCACCACTATGTATGGGATGAGAGGTGGGGAGGGAGAAGAAGAAAGAGCACAGGGTAGGGAATAGACACAGGAGAGCCTGGGAGCTGAGGGGGGGTGGAGCAGGGGAGGCTGGCAATACACAAGAAGTGGGAAGGAAAAAGAACAACAGGGAGGATGGGAGAGCTGTTGGGCAGGTTTGCATGGGCTAGGTGGGACAGAGCTAAATGATAAGGTATGCACAACCCTGGAATAACAAGGCTTCAGGATACAGGGACTAAGGCAGGGCTTGAAAGGGGAAAAAAGGGGAATAATGTTAGGATGCTTGGCTATCTTTTGAATCTTGGTCTCCCTTGCCTACCATTGTGAAATAGACACTGGGGGGGGGGGGAGGACAGCCAGAAACATCACAACAGAAAATATGTGGGCCCATATCGAGCCTATAACTAACTGGAATACCTAGGAGGGGAGGCTGGAAACTGTCCAGACCCAAAATGGCAGGGGCCTGTGATGGCATGGACAGATGGAGTGGCTGGGGACACGGGACTCAGGGCGGGAGAGGAGCTGTTTGCTGACAGCCAGGGGGGTAGGGCGGGCCTGTGGGGTATATCCTTTGGTTATTTGATGATGCACGGAGGAGATTTTAATCATTGCAATGAAATGAAATAAGATAGGATGAATGTGAAGCTAAAGTGGGACAGAGGCAAATAATGATGTATGCAAAACCTTGGAACAGCAGGGTTCTGGGATACAGAAACTGAGATATGGTTTGAATGGGGAAAAGGGGGGAAATAATGTTAAGATGCTTGGCTGTCTGTTGAATCTTGGTTCCCCTGGCATACAGATATAAAATAGACACTGGAGGGGGAAAGAAAGGAATAGCCAGAAATACCACCATAGAAAGCTTGTAAGTCCATCTTCTGCCTATAACTGATTGGAATACCTAAAATGGGAATACAACATGCCCAGCGAAGGAGGCTTCCTGCAGAGCCTCTGTGTTACACAAGACCATAGGTGGAATCCTGAACAGCATCCAGAATCTTCTGAGGGGAAATTTCCACTTGAAAGGACAAGCAGACCAGCGTGGAGTGGCCAGAACAACAGAAGATACTTCCTGAAAGAAAGACTGACAGGAAAAATACAAAACAGCATAGACAGACCAACTGATTACTACAAGAACAAACAAGTGGCTCACCCAGGAGACATCAAGGCAAGAGGTCAGGTCCCCCTCAGGGCAAATACCCTTCTAAGACTAAAGCTCAATGGGAATGCATGCTCTGATTGGTGATCACATTAGTCACTGATAAGGGGAAGTGAGGGAAAAACAGCAATGAGGCTGCGAGCTAAGCCCTACAACGCTCAATAGACTCCTGCAAACCCGGATGGAGACCTGGTTGGCTAGCGGTATGCCAAGTCCAGGGGACTCTTGGACCCAGAGTCAGCGACATAGCCACAGAGGACTAGAGTGGAGAGTGAAGCATCCAGCTGGTAAGAAGAGAGGGCACATACATAAGTACACCCACCCACACTTGCAGATAATACCACTTGACCTGGCTTCAATGGCTAGATGATCAGAGCTCAAACAGAAGAAGAGGGAAAAAAGAATCTGATACAGTTTGATGAACTTGACATACACCTATGGAAGCAGTGAACGAATCTTGACAGCGAGGATCATTTCCACCTCCTCCGCACACGGACAGTACAGCGATAGGCAACTTGGACATTGGCTACCCAGAATGGGGGGGCTACAGAGGCAAGAAGTGACTGGCTTACAAGCTTTCAAGAAGGAACCTAGATCCAGAGGGCGTGGAGCAAGGTAGAATCTCCACTGAGTAGTATCCATTCTGCCTAGTCAGGACTGATGAAAGGAGATGAGGATTGGTCTTTTGCGATACAACAGCAAATAATTGTATCAGGTCTGATTTAAGGGCTGGAAATGTAAAGGTAGATGTTTTGGGGCAAAGGGAGGGGAGTGATTAACCTTGCAGTCTAGGAGCAGAGGTCCCTGGGACCATCAAAGGAGAAGAGTGGAGAACGGAACCCTACCCAGAGAAACAGTGATGCCAGGGATGGAGGCAGAGACGATGACATGGGGACATGGAGCGGCTGGAGACTTTGGACCCAGAGAGGGAGAGTGGTGGTATGCCAATGACCGGGGAGCAGGCTTGCAGGGTATATACCCTTTGGTTGATGGATGATGCATGGAAGGGACTGTAAGCATTGCAAGGAAACGATACACAACGGGATCAATGTGAAGCCGGTGTCCTCCCATGTAAACTATCATGTAATTCACAATAAAGCATTACCAAACAAAAAAAAAGTACCATGGACTGCCAGAAGAATAAACTAATCTGTGTTGGAAGAAGTACAGCTAGAATGCTACTTAGAGACCTGGATGGTGAGACTTCATCTCTCATACTTTGGACTTGTTCTCAGGAAAGACCAGTCCCAGGAAAATGACATCATGCTTGGTACAGTAGGGGGTCAGTGAAAAAGAGGAAGACCACCAACAAAAGGGACTGATACAGCAGCAGCAGGAATGGACTCAAACATAACAGTAATTGTGAGGATGGTACAAGACCCAGCAGTGTTCTTTTCTGTTGAACACAGGGTTGCTATTAGTTGGAACTAACTTGATGGCACCTAACAACTCAGAATTATATAGCTACTAAAATTGGGGAACAAAATTACTCTTTTGGATTAGTCATGATGGTCAGAAAATCAACATGTTAAGTGACAGAGAACGTAAGGGAGGGAAATCCTAGTCTTCTCTTGTTAATAAACTGGTAATTAGGCTAAATCAGAAACCAATAATAATTAGGCTCAATAATCAATTCCTGAATAGATCAAGATTTCACATAGAAGCTAAAGGTCAGTGTTACATACATACCTGTCTAGACCCCTGGGGACCAACAGCCCCCATGTTAATTGGCCCTGGACCCTGGATTCCACCAGGCATAGGGCCTCTAGGGCCAGGGACTGGGCCTCTTGTATCCAAGCCTCTGGCTTCCATTCCTCTGACTTCCATGGCACGGGCCTCCATTGCACGTGCCTCCATTGCACGTGCCTCCATTGCACGGGCTTCCATTCCTCTTGCCTCCATGGCTCGGGCCTCCATCCCTCGTGCATCCATTCCTCGGGGATCTCTTCCACCTATAAAGTTGTAAACAAACTTTTGTAATGCTACTAACCTTTACTGCAAGAAGAACCAATTGTCAAAGTGAAGGTAGAAATCTATTCCTCTAGTCACATCTCCTCCCAAATATGAGACTGCTTTCTCCTCCTCAGTTTCTTAAGTATGCAAATAAACCTTAAAAATGCTTGCCAACCATATAAGCAGGCTTCAAAAAGTTCATGGGAAAATGGAAGTTTTCCATAAAACTTAAAAAAAAATTTTTTTTTACATTTTATTATGAACAACTGAATGACAATTTCCAGAGCAGATCATCAGCAATTCAGACACATTTTATTTCATCTCATTGACTGCAATTCCCACAATGAAACTTCAGTTGTCTCACTTCATCTGTTTCCTATTTCCATTCTTCTTTCTTTTCTAACCCTCCCAAATGTTGTCCTTGGGTTAATGCTACCCTTTTTATCTCTAATAGTTGATCATTCTAAGCAGTGCATACCTCCCTAGTCTTATTGTTCCCTTTGTTGTTGTTGTTGTTAAGTACTGTTTAATCGGTTACGACACACAGTAACCCTGTATAAGGTTTCCAAGGAGCAACTTATGAATTTGAAGCACCGACCTTGCAGTTCAAACCAACCTTGCAGTCCAAACCGACTTTGTAGTCCAGTGCATTATCTCACAACACCAGACCTACTATTTAGCTGAAAACTGAAACATAAGGGAGTGTTCATTTATAGACCTGAGGTTCTACCAGTCTCTACGTAAGCCTGGTCTTTTGTTGATTTTGAGTTTTGTTCCACATTTTTCTCCCACTTTATCTAGGACCTTCTAATGTGATCCCCTTGAGAGCAGTTGAAGCCTCCTTGTATTTCTCTAGACAGGCAAGGCCATTATCAGCACACAATTTACCAGTTCACCTTGTGAAGAGGACTCATCTTACCTCTGCCATCTAAGGATGGACCCCTCTGATCCATAATGGGTCCTCTTGGTTCTGCCATTAAAGGTCTGGGTTCTGTTAATGGCCCTCCCCTCATCTCATGTGGTGGTGGGCCACGGTTGTCATGGCCAGGGACATGGTGCATTGGTGGACCCTGATGGGGTGGTCCCATGTAACCTCTAAAGATGGAGAAAAATGTTGTATTTTAAAACAACACAATACAAACAGAGAACAAACCAAGAAATGAATAAGTAAAGCCAATAAATTGATACAAACATCAGTGTACTAAGGCTAACAAGATAATAAAACAAACAGGCTGAAGAAAAACAAGAGATATAAATTCACACATTCTATAATTTCATATTTGGTTGGGGCACTCATAATTAGGGGGGAATGAATGAATATTCATTATATATAAAATGAGGCAACACCATACAGTGATAAAGAATATGGGTTCGGGATTCATATTATATGGGCTCAAATCTGGGCTCTATCACTTATTAGCTGTGGGTTCTTGGACACATCTACTTCTCCACACCTCAGTTTCTTTAGTTATAAAACAGATCTAATAGTAACTGGGTTGTTGTGTGATTTAATGAGATGAGGCTTTCTGCTCCTGTAAAGATTTACAGTCTTGGAAACCCTGTTCAGGGTCGCTATGGGTTGGAACCGACTCCACGGCACTTAACAACAAGTACTTAAAGTCAGAGGCACCTACGTATTCCATTAATACCAATTATTATTATTGCTATAATATCACTACTACCATTAAACAAGGAGTCCTGGTATAGTGCTGTAGGATAAGCACTGGACTGTAAGGTAAGTTTGAACTGTAAAGTCCCTCCTCGGAAACCTTGTTAAAGGATCACTGAGTCGGAACTGACTCAATGGCACCTAACAACAACAACCACCATTAAACAATACATGGTTTCCCTGTTCAGGTATTTGTGCTAGAATTTCTGATTTCTGACACAGTAGAGTCAGTGTTAGCTCAAAATGATATATTCAACTATATAGTTCTACCTTAGGAGAAGTACTTAGCCTTGGAAGGTGGCTATGAATATTTGTCTTTTGAAGTAGGCAAGCAGGTACAACTAGTACTGAAAATCTTCACTCTCAAAGCAAGGGACTGTTCGAATTTCTCCAATCTTTTCCTGTGTACTGCTTACCTAGGCTCAACCTCTCCAGTTACAGTAAGTAAAGTGCCTCCACGTGGGTCATTTGGGGCATCTCCTAACAAGCCTCGAGGAGTTGGAACATTGGCAGGCAAGGGTCCTCGCTGCATAGCTGCTCTGGGATCTTGCATCGGCACTGACAGGGAAACAAACGAGGAGTTACTGCTGTGAAGGACAAATAAGGGAACAAGAAATGACTCTATATACCACTGACAACGTAATTCAGACACCTTAGAGTGGGTGAAACCTCACCACAGCAGAATCCTCTTGCAGCTCAAGAACAGAAGCAGGGTGAAGGCAGAATCTGTACCATGTCAGAGGTATGGATGGAATTATATAAAGAGCAAACTGGGATGCAACCTGCCAAAGACTAGCACTGAAACCGGAAGAGACTTAGGCTCCTGGTTTTCCTTATAATCAATCTTAGTTCAAGAACCAAAGTCACAAAAGAAGTAGGGTCTTGGCATATATGAACACTGGGAAGTCTCTCCAAGAACCCGCTGTCTCCTTACAGACTGCTATTCCATCCAAGCCTCCTGACACCAGTAGAGAGGGAGTACAGCCTCGGACAGATGCCCATATCATCCATGTTCTCTGCCCTGTGTGAAGAGGTCAATCTTAGGCTTGTGGTCCCAACAAGAAAAAAATCAAAAACAAAAACCCAAAACACTACCCTTTTGGGTTCTGAACGTGAGGATGACTGCCAAGCAGTTCTTTTCCTCTCAACGTCCCACCCTGAACACCACAAGCAAGAGGAAACCCGCAGATACAATGGGTACCTTGAACTCGCTCAATTGATGCAGGCCCGGCGGGTCCCACGGGCGAGTGCTGTAGGGTTCCTAGGTAAGCATTAAGTTCAAAAGGAGAAACAGCAGGCACTTAAAATAGCTTGCATGCACACGCAAACACATATACATACAAAGACTAGAGATTTAGACAAGTAAGTTAAAAAGTCATGAGTTCATTAGCTTGTTTAAGGCTACAAAATCTTTTGTTCCTTTGGATTTCTGAAACACAGTTTGACAGGTAGTTTCCAAGGTAAAACTTGTGGATGGATGATTTATTTGGGCATAAATACTAGTCATTTCCAATTGTCACCTCTGCTACTATTATGTTTTCCCCCAAATCTCATTGATGTCATTAAAAATAAGTAAATAAAAAGATGGCTTTGAATCACTAATTAAATAAGGAATAAAAACATATTTTCACAAGCAAAACATGAAAGGAAGTGCACTGAATTTGGAAGGTGAAATTAAATCTGGAGAAGCCAAAACAGAAATGAGGCCGTACTATTTTCACCATTTTTCAAAGCACAAAAACTGCTATCCAAGAAATATTACATGGGGAAATGCAGTGGGTGAGCTTTTGGTAAGCAAAGAGACTATCATTCCACAAGAAATACTCAACCACAGACAGGTCTTTGATAATAAATATGACAACAGCAAACAAATACTAATGAGATGATAAAGGCATAACACCTTAAACACAGGTGTTAGAAAGCAAGAAAAACTATCTTCTCACTGTCCCATTTCACCATTACCAATGAAAAGAATCATTGTTGTTATTAGTTGACATCAAGTCAATTCTGACTCAGAGCAACCTATAGATTCTAGTGAAACCAGAACAAACTGGACACAAATTGAAAGATGCTTGCTTCCTCTGCTGGGTACTGGGGAAAAAACAAGCTTGAAAAAAACCCAGCTCATTTTGTCTCTTCAGGAAGACATCCCTGATATACCTTCAAAATTTGAGTCATTTCCCTTGCCTTGTGGATGTTGGTTTCCCATGCCTACTACTGTAAAACATGTGTGATAAAAATAATTATTGGGAATTATGATTTCAGAAAGCTTATAAGCCTACCTTCAGCCAATAACTGATTGGATTTGCTTTAAAAAGGGAGTTAGAATTTGCCCAGAGAAAGAGGCTTCTTGTTAATTCTTTGTAGAGTATGTAGCCTTAGGTGGAATCCTGAGCCCCATCCAGAACCTTCTGTATTGGAACACTCCCATTTGAAAAGACATGCAGACCAACCCAGAACTACTAGAAGAAAAGATTCTTATTTAAAGTAAAACTTGCAGAAAACAGTGGACTGTTTGCCTTTTTGAGTTTCAAGCAAGTTGTTGCTTTGGAGGCAGCAAGGCAAAAAAGTCAGCCCATCAGGGAAAACCTCCTTCTAGGACTGAAAGTTAATGGGAACCCCCAAGCAGTCTAGTTAATAAGCTCACTGGTGACCACCTGGGTCTACATATGAGTGGAATAGGGGAAATGCAGCAATGAAGACACTGGCTGAGTTTGGACATGTTCCATTGTCACCCATTGACCTTGAGATGAGAGAGGGGAGGACTGGCTGGCTGCTCTGAAGTTTAGGAAGCTGTATGAACCCCTGAGCTTATGGACACTGACCTAGCCTTTGGGGGCAAGACTTGAGAGTAAAGGGGCTAGTTGGTCTGAAGTGCAGGGAGGTATATGTGAACTCTCAAACTTGTAGCTGGTACCCATTTGACCTAGCTTGGATGGCTAGGGCTTAGCTAACTAAAACCTAATCAGATGAAGATAAAGATATTTGATACTGTGAGCAATTATAATTGCTACAATTTGATGAACTGGATTTTTGCTCATGGGTGCAGCTGCTCAAAATTCCAACTGGAAAGGAAGATTCTTCCTATCAAGGAATATGCTTGGCTACTCAGTGTACTGGGTTGACAGGACAGGCAATTTACACATTGGCTATCAAAAATGGGGGCTATAAAGGAGTTCTGGTGTGGTGCTGTGGGTTAATGCACGAGACTGCAAAGCTGTTTGAACTGCAAGGATGGCAGTTCAAGCTCACCAGCTGTTCCTCAGAAACCCTATCCAGGGTCACTATGGGTCGGAACCGACTCGATAGCACTTAACAACAACATAAAGGAATGAACTGGCTGGCTAACAAGCTTTCATGGGTGTACTTAACTTCAGACTGAGTCAGGTAAAGTAGAATCCCCACTGAATAGTTTTCCTCTTTTCCAGATGGGTCTGGTGAAAAGGGATGTGGGACGATGCTGATAGGATTTAATGATTCAATTGTGAGTAACTGTTAGTAGGATTAATTGTGAACGTCAAAACTGAAATTGTAGATGTGTAACTAAAAGGGGGAATAGTTAGTTTTCATTTCAGGAACAGACGATCCCAGGACCATCAAGAAGGAAGAGCAGGAGTGGAGCGTGAGATCCCTACCTTGAAAAGCGGTGACAGCAGAGACGGTGGCAGAGGCGGTGGCATGGAAAGACAGAGCAGCTCTAGGCCCATGGATTGAGTAAGGCCATGTGCCTGCGGGCAGGAAGCTGGCTTGCAGAATGTGCCCTTTGGACATTTAAATGAATATATATTTTTTGTTTTGTATGTGTATCAAATATTTTTTCTTTGTTCATTGGTGAAATATAAAATGTAAATGGGGAACCACAGGGAAGAAGTAGGATAACTGTTATTGCAGGGAGGAGATTGTAATCATTGATATGAAACAAAGTGTATGATCTGTTGAATTTGTAAAGCTGATGAGCTTGTCTATTAACTTTCACTCAATTCACAATAAAAAGTTAAAGAAATATATAAATCATTTCCATGTGTTAATTTTTGACCAGAAAGGTGAGAGAAGAAGGAAGATAATTTATGGAAATATGTATTAAAAAGCTCAAGCTGAAGTCTGAGTGTATGGCCCTTGGTTATCCTTCAGGTCTGGAACTGAATTCACCTCTGTGGCTTGATTTTCAGGCAAGTAAAAGATAGGTATACAGTTGGGACAACAACACTAGTGAGGAATGCATACCATAGAATGGTCAACCAAAGATCAAAAGGGTAGCAGGTATCATAGGGAAAAATCCATAAGGTGAGGAAAGAAAGAGAAAGGGTGGGGAAAGTCCAGTGTCATCTTTTCTCATCACAGAGGCACAACGAATAAGAGTGTTGTTCTTGTTGTTAGGTGCTATCAAGGCAGTTTCAACTCAAAGTGATCCCATGCGCAACAGAATGAAACACTGTCTTGTCCTGCGTCACCCTCACCATTGTTACACTTGAGCCCACTGCTGCTGCCACTGTGCCAATGCATCTCATAGTAGAGTAGAGGGCATTAAAGAATGCTTTTAGAAGTTAATAGAAACAGTGTGGAGTGTCAGAAAGCAGATAAGCTTTGCAGTCAGAGGCTTCTGAATCCTAAACTCTAGCACTTACTACCTGGAAGAGAAGATGAGAACACCAAGAAGTCCAGTCCACATTAATCAGACATTAGTATTTATTTACCTGTCCCTTTGAATAAGTAACTTAGAAATCCTGAGCTTCTATCTCTTTATCTGTAAAACTGAGGTGCTGCCACCTAACTCCTGAAGTTCTTCAAGAAGATTAACGGGCCTGGCTATGGTACACACTCAAGATTATCATGGAGTTCCTTCTCTTCTCAGCCTCTCTTCTCCTAACATTGTTTTCAACCAAGTCACTGCATCTTCTTTTCCTTCAAGCTCCCATAACATGGAAAACAAGGTAAATATTTTTGAGTGACTACAATTGCTACATATAGTGTTACTGCCATCATACAACAGACACTTAGCAAGTAAGTATCATAGACTGATGACCCCCTACCAGTTTTCCTTACTAAGTCAACAGACATCCTCAGGAGAGAGAGAACATGGCAATATAAATTAAATAGAAACAAAGGATCCATTAGCTTTATCCTCCATTCTTACAGAGCTGGGCTCTAAAGCACTAGGTAGAAAGTATAGACCAGTGCTATCCAACAGAACTTTCAAAATGATGGAAACGTTCTGTATCTGCACTTTCCAGGGCAGTATCCATTAGCTACATGGGACTATTAAGTATTTGGAGTAGCTAGTGTGACTCTGGAACTGAATTTTAAGTTTTACTTAATGTTAATTAATTTAATATTTAAATAGCCACATGTGGTTAGTGGCTTCTATATTTGACAGTGTAGGAAAAGATCAGAGTACCAACTCCAGTTCACATTAATCAGACATTAATATTTATTTACCTACCCTCATGGCTCAACTTTCGGCCAAACAACAGACAAGCCTAACCTGAGCAATAACACTGGGCAGGTAGGCAGTCCTTAGAACAATCAACCATATGAGATCAAAAGGGCAGCATTTTCCAAGAAACAATGATCAGAAGACAGGAAGGGAAAAAGGTAGACAAAAGGGAATGGGAAATATAAGGAGGAAGTGAGATGAGTGCTGTTACATAGTGGGATTTGCATTCAATGTCATGAAACAAAATAGGTATGGATTGTTAAATGGAAAACCAATTTGCTCTGTAAACTTTCACTCAAATCACAATAAATTTTTTAAAAATATATATTTACCTTGTCCCCGCTCCAAGGCCACTGCTCCACTTCCTGGCATTCCAACTTGGGCCTGCATTCCCCCTAGAAGAAGCAGGGGGAAAAAAAATTAATGGGTTAGGACACTGAATGCATTTATACTTTTCCTCATTCAGCCCACAAGCAGAATCTATGGAAAAAGATCCTAACTATCATTAAGCAATGTAGTCTATACAGAAGATGGAATTACTTTATGCTATCTCTGGGTGGTACAAATGGTTGTATATACTTGACTGCTAACCAAATAGTTGTCAGCTTGAGTCCACTCAGAGGTACTTCAAAAAGCAAAGGCTGGTGATCTACTTCTAAAAAAACAGTTCTACTCTGACATACATAGGGTCACCACAAGCGGGAGTAGACGCAATGGCAAATGGGTTGGTTTAAAAAAAAAAGATTTTATGCTAAAGTACTTTTTAAAAAGTGAGTTAAATAAGAATACATAGTCTTACTGACTACCACAACCTTGGCAGGGAGCTCCACTGTAATATAGGAAAACTATGTCCGGTATCCAGTAGAGTCTTAATGGAGGCAGTATTGCTCCCAGGTAATTTTGTAAATGTGTGAGTATACTGTTTTGGTTGTGAGAATGATTTTGTGGGAGGTGTATTACTGGTATTTACTGAGAAGGTATACAAAGTCAAAAACCAAACCCCTGTCATTGAGTTGATTTCAACTCATAGCAACCTTATATAGGATTTCCAAGATCATAAATCTTTAAGGGAGCATACAGCTTCATCTTTCTCCTGGCATGGCTGGTGGGTTTGAACCACCTATCTTGTGGCCAGCCGTCCAATACTTATCCCACAGCGCCATCAAGGCTCCTTGAGAAGATACCAAGGACACTAAAAATAAAAAAAAAAAAAAAAAGCAAAAACAAACAGAAAACAAAAAAAAATACATCCGTTGCCCACTGAGTCAATTTTAACTCATCGCAACCCTATAGGACAGAGCAGAAATGCCCCATAGGGTTTCCATCGTTATGGAAGCAGACTGCTACATCTTTCTCCCATGGAGCAGCTGGTGGGTTCAAACCACTGACCTTTCGGTTAGCAGCTGAGCGCTTAACCACTGCACCACAAGGGCTCCTTCCAGGGACACTAGATGTCCTGTAATGCATGAGACAGTCCCGCAAAATTAAGAATTACCCCGTCTTTCAAATGTCTCACTGAACATCCACATATACGAAAACCAGTTAATTGTTCTCTGAACTTAGAACCTTTTTCACTTAGAACCAAAACACGGATTTCTTTGCAATGAATTTTCCAGAAATGCAATTACTGAGCAAGTGAGGGTACTATAATTTTGCTTTGTTAAGAAATTTACCAAGAGTTTCCACCATTTTAGAAAAGTACCATTTGTCTGTAGCACTTGTGGTATTTCAGTTACCAAACAAGATATTTATATCTGTCTACATTTTAGTCTTTGTATTCATGACAGTGCTATGTATAGGTGCAAGGATCTGACTAATGCTTTGTTTTCCACTGTAGTTGTGCCTATACACTTGCAAGTGAAAAAACATTTTTCACTATAAATTAGTTTCCTTTTACTTTTTTACATTTTAATTTTGGGCATTATATTGATTTTTTGAAATCATATTAAGAAATCATATTAAGTACAATTTTCATAATTGTTTATATTATATGAGTACATTATATTACATAACTTTATTTGTATGAACTAAGTAGAAATGGGTCAAAGTATGTATGAATTTTTAATATTAATATATTGACAGGCTTCTAAAGTTACATATCTTCTATATGTTGACAGGCTTCTAAAATGTTATTAATATCTGTTAATTACATTTCATGACAGTACAGAATCATTACAAAATATATTATGTAAAAAGTCTAAAAGGGTAAAGAACCACTATTTTACTTTAATGAATCTTGGAATAATGACTGGTATACAAACAATAATCACGTATCACAAGTCCTTGTCTGGTCTTTTCCACATAGCAGTAATCTCTATTCCTCAAAGCAGCAATATATTCTTCACTGAAAAAGATAAATTGAACTGTTCGCAGTTCATTAATACTTCCATAAAATAGCAAGGATACTTTATATTCCTTTATTACATTCAACATCCCAACCACCATAATCCTATGGATTAAGAACCTGAAGAACTAGGAACTAGCCTTGCCTCTGCTACCAAGTAAGTAACTGTGATTTTGAACATGTGACTAAATAAAATTAATATATTCAATGTGGTTGCTAAGTTCCGTTGAGTTGGTTCCGACCCATAGTGACCCTGTAGTGTTTCCAAGGAGCGACTGGCGAGCTTCAACCACCGACCTTGTGGTTAAACCAACTTTACAATCCAGCGCATTAACCTTAAGTGCCACACCAGGATTCCTAGTGATACCATTGACAATTGGTTGTGTGCCGTGGAATCAGTTCTGACTCATAGCGACCCAGTATAGTTTCCGAGGTTGTAAATCTTTATAGGAGCAGAAAGCCTCATCTTTTCCCCATGGAACGGCTAGTAGTTTCGAACTGCTGACCTAAAGGTTAACAGTCCTACTCCTAACTACTACACTACCAGAGCTCCTTAATAGCGACCTGTATAGGGTTTTCCTAGTAGCAACTGGTGAACTTGAAGCAACATCTTTTGTATTTTGTAATCCAGTGCATTAACCCACAGTGCCACATCAGGGCTACCTCATATACAAAGTGAAAGAATTGGTCTAAACCACTGGTTCTCAGAGTGTGGCACCCTGACCAGCATCATCATCATTATCTATAAATTTGTCAGAAATAAATTCTCAGGTCCCATGCCAGATCTACTGAATTAGATATTCAGGGGGATAGGAAGGAGAGACCCCAGAAATTTGTGTTTTAATAGCCCTTCAGATGAGTCTAGTACACACTAAAGTTTGATACCCACTGGTCTAAATGATGTCAAAGATTTCCTCTAGTAATAACCTATGATTTATCCAAACTACTTACCAAAACAACACACATAAAGATTTAGGATATGAGGAAAGGAGTGGCAGAGAGAATTATGGGCATAATTGCTTATATTATATGAGTACATTATTATATAATAGAACTTTATTTGTATGAACTAAAGTCTCCTAAGCAGAAATGCTGGGTCAAAGTATGTATGAATTAATATATTGACAGGCTTCTAAAAAGGCTGAAAAACATTTCTACCAGCAATGTATGACTACTATTTTCTTACCTGTATTAGGTGTCATTTCTTTTAAATTTCTGCTAATCTAATAGGTTAAGTAAAGTGAAATTTCATTGTTGCTTAATTTTACTTTTTATTTAATCCCTCAACTAGAAAGAAATGTTTTTCATGGCCATTTGGATATACTCTTACATGAAATGTCTGCTCATTTTCTTTGCCCACTTTTCTAGGAGATTTTAATAATTTCTGAAGTATAAATACTACAAACATACAACATAATCATCTGAAAGTTTATTTAACTTTTTTGTCTTTTTCTAATTTATTTTGAGTATTTTTCTGATAAACACTGAACTGAAAAATTGGTTTGAACCATAAGGTCAACAGTTCAAACTCACCAGCCACTCCTCAGAAACCCTACATTGTTGTTGTTAAGTACCGTGGAGTCGGTTCCGACTCATAGTGACCATGCACAGGGTTTCCGAGGCTGTAAATCTTTACGGGAACAGAAAGCCTCATCTTTCTCCCACAGAATGGCTGGTAGTTTCGCACTGTTGGCCTTGAGATTAGCAGCTCAATTCGTAACCACTATGCTACCAAAGCTCCTTCAGAAACCCTATACAGGGTCGCTATGAGGCAGAACCTACTAGATGGCACTTAACAATTACTTTGAGTTCTTATATTCTTTAATAATAAAGGGGGCATAAATGGAGAAATCCCATGATCATTTTTTAATGGCGCATCAGTTCTATTCTTTTTAATGTGAACTTCAGTGATGGTTTACAGAGCATACCCAATTTACATTCAATAATTCATACATATTGCTTGATCTCAGGGACTGCAATCTCCACAACGAAACATCTCCTATTCCACCGACTTCCTGTTTCCATTCCTCCTTGTTTCCTAACCCTTCTGAATATTGTCTTTGGGTAAATGATGACCTTTTGATTTCAAATGGTTGATCATGCTAAGGTGAGCATACCTTCCCTGTTAATTCTCCCTCTGTAGACTTGTCTAGAGTCCTGGTATATCACTGGGGGTTAAGGCGCTGGATTGTAAAGTCGGTCTGAACTGGAAAAGTGGCAATTCAAGCTTGCCAGTCGCTCCTTGGAAACTCTATATAGGGTCACTGAGTCAGAACCGACTCAATAGCACTTAGCAGCAACGACATAGACTTATCTACTGTTTGGCTGAAAATTAATCCATGGTGGTTAACGGCCACAGTCACAGGGATTCCACCAGACTCTTGACTAGTAAATCTGGTCTTTTTTATGATTTTGAATATTGTTTCACATTTTTCTCCCACTCTATACAGGACCTTCTAATATGATCCCTTTCAGAGTAATTGGTAGTGGTAGCCAGACATCATCTAATTCTTCAGGTCTCAGGATTGTAAAGACTGATGTTTGCGTGTTCCACTAGTTTTTAAATGATCTTTTGGCCTCTCCATTATCTTTTAATGCAATTTTACTACAAACTTTTTGAAGTCCCCTCATTTAGCCCTTATGGATATGCATTTTCCTTCAGATACTGCTTTCACTATTTCTAATACTTCATTGTAAAAGGAACACTTCTTCATTTTTCATTTAAATGAGTATACTTTATAATTTTTTTTTCATTTTCTCTTTAAGGATTATCTAAGTTTTTTCACTACCTTTTTTATATTTGTAATTTTATAATAAAAGAAGTGCGGCCTGTAAAATCTCAACATTTTCTAATCTGTTAAAGTTTTATTTTATTTTATGGTTCATGGTCATTTTGGAGACAAAAAAAAGTGTATTCTCTAGTCAAAAGGATCTCTCTATATGTTAAATCAAGTTTACTGATTCTATTACTGGATTGCTTTGTGTCCTTCCCTTTTTAAATTATCTACTAGCACAATGCATTTGTGGGTTTTTTTTCATTAAATTCACTAGCACAATTCTACTCAAATGTGTGGCCCACACATGGTGCTCATCCATGAATTGTATGGTAATTGTATGGAAATCTAATTACAGAAACGGAGAGATGACATTTATGGAAACTTTGATAGCCATTTGACATTGCTAAGATAGTACATGATGAGTACAATTGTCTCACTGAACATGGTATAGACCAGTTTGGATTTTTTGAACTCATGCGAATCATATACGTCAAGGACCATATACTTGTCACATGAAGCAGGATGACATTTAAAGTTAGATAAGCACCTATAGCTCAAAAATATATGAAATACAGAAAAAAATTTCTGTATTAAAAGATAATTTAGGTTTAACTAGCGTAGTGGTTACGAATTGGGCTGCAAACCTTAAGGTCAGCGGTTCGAAACTACCAGCCGCTCCACGGGAGAAAGATGAGGCTTTCTACTCCCGTAAGTATTTACACCCTCGGAAACCCTGTACAGGGTCGCTATGGGTCGGAACCAACTTGACGGCACTTAACAACAACAACAACAACAACATAATCGTATAGGATAAATTAGATAAATGAAATTCCTGAGTTTGCTGAAATTTTACCCTGCTGAGTAAGCAATCTAATTCAGATGAGGTCAATTAACAAACAAGTTCATGACATTAAAAAATTTAAATACTAACATTCATCATGTTTTTCAAAGTGTTCATACAAATGTTTAATATGGGGAATTGTTATTTCACTCACAAGCAAGTTGTGAGTAAAACAGATTAGTGGTGAACTATTGTATGATGAATAATCACATGTATAATAAAAGTATTTGTTAATTGCCCACAGACATACTTTCAATGAACATGTACAGTTCTAAAAATGACATTCTTCCTTTTGTGTTTGGTCTAACTATATCAGGGGATTTCAAAAAGTTGGTGGAAAAATCCCATTACCTTTCAATTCCATTTTTCCAAACTTTTTGGGGGTCTCCAACTTACTGAAGCATAATTATGTGACATGACTGTTAAATAAATAAAACATATGACAATGCATTTTGTATCTGTTTTACTAATTTTTTTAATGTTATCTAATAGTGTCCGACTTTTAATGGAAGACTCTAGCTCAATCACATTTAGTGGAATGACACTTTAAACTTGATTGTATTCTTTCCATCCTGTCCATATACTTACCTTACATCATTTTTGACTTATCCCTATTTTTTACTGCTCTGATTGTTTCTATTAATTCCATTTCCCCCCCTCACTTATTTGGAAGATTTACCATTTTACTTTCCCTTTACCTGCTTTATTAATCAGACAAACAGGATTTGCATATAAGTCAACTATTCCTTACACCTAGGAATACACACTTTCTAGCAGTGTGCTAATTGCATACCAAAATACCGTCACCACATAATAATTTGGTTATACTATGGCATTTGCTGTAATAATACTTTAGCAAAGTACTCTAAATGAAATTTACCTCCAGGAGGTAACGAACCAGGGCCAGGTCCTGTTACAGCAGTTGGTATTTGCCCTGGTGCTGGAACTCCACCCTGCATAGAAGCTTGCATCATAGGAGGTGCGCCATTGACATGCATTCCACCCTGACCAAGAAAAAATCCACAGTATGTACCTGCCTCCATAGAGTCAATACACTAAGTCTTTGTTCTTACAAGTCCTTTTCAAATTTATACCCCTAAACACTCTACCAATACATGAGATGAATTTGGTTATACAGAAAATAGTTAAGATGGAACATACTAAGAATGCAGAAATTGTCATGTCTTATCTGTGTGCTGGATGAGCACTGGAATACAAACCACAAGATCAGTGGTTTGAGCCCACCATCTGCTCCATGGGAGAAATTATGAGGCTCTCTGCTTCTGCAGATATTTACAGCCTCTAAAACCTTATAGAGGGTTGCTGTGAGTTGCAACCAACTCAACGAGCTTAACAACATCTGTGTGTTAAGCAAATATTCAGAGAAGCTGGATTATATGAAGAAAAACGTGGCATCAGGAAAACTCATTAACAACCTGCAATATGCAGAGGACAACCTTGTTTGCTGGAAGCTAAGTGGACTTGAAATACTTGCTGATTATGATCAAAGACTCCAGCTTTCAGTATGTATTGAACCTTAAAGTAAAGAAAATGAAAATCCTCACAACTGGTTTAATAAGCAACATCATGTTAAAAAGAGAAAAGACTGAAGTTGTCAAAGACTTCATTTTAATTGGATCTACAATCAACACTCATGGAAGCAGCAGAAATCAAAAGGCATATTGCATTACGAAAATCTACTACAAAAGACCTCTTTACAGTATTAAAGAGCAAAGATGCCTCTTTGAAGACTAAGATGTGTCTGACCCAAGCCATGGCATTTTCAAATACCTCATATGCATGGCCTGGTGGGGCGGTGTGGGCTAATGCATCAGACTGCAAAGTCGTTTGAACTACAAAGTCGGTGGTCCAAGCTCACCAGCTGCTCCTTGGAAACCCTATACAAGGTCGCTATGGGTCGGAATCAACTCGATGGCACTTAACAACAACATATGCATGGCAAAAGTGGGACAATGAGTAAGAAAAAGACAGTAGAAGAATCGATGCATTTGAATTATGGTGTTGGAGAATATTGAAAGTACTACGGACTGCCAGAAAAACAAATAAATCTGTCTTAGAAAAGTATAGCCAGAATTCTTCTTAAAGAGGTGAAAATGGCAAGACATCATCTCTTTTTCTTTGGACATGTTGTCAGGAGGGATCAGTCTCTGCAGAAGAACACCATGCTTCATAAAGTGGAAGGTCAACAAAAAAAGGAAGACCCCAAAATGAGACAGATTGACACAGTGGCAGCAACAATGGGCTCAAACATAACAACATTTGTGAGAATGTTGCAGGCCCAGGGGCAATGTTTCAATTTGTTGTTCATAGGGTTGCTAAAACTAGGAACCAATTCAATGATACCTAATATCAACATCTGTGTACTAAGGCAGCATATAGCACCTATTGCTGACTTCATGACTGGGGTCTGTCAATAAGAACAAGAAAAAAGTGCCTTGAAGGAGTAAGAGGAGACTGGGACATTTTAAAAGCAACTCTGGCTATCTACGTTTCTAAGAAAAACTATTTATTTGATTTATCTTTTCTCACCTATGTTCTCAGATATAATTCTGGTTTGAGGGTAATGTGAACACTTTTTTTTTTTTTTAATGCTACATTAAATGTTCTTTGAAAGAAAAGGAATGGTATCTTTCACCTACATATTTCTGAAAGAACTGAGTAGTCCCTTGGAAAAGAAAGAACGCAACAAAGAATAAAAGGGAAATTATATAATTTGGACCAATCAACCTTCTCAGCCTTAGTTTACTTTCTATCTCTTTAAAATTATTTATTTATTTAGAGCAGAGACTGGCAAAGTACAGTCCATGGGCCAAATCTGCCTGGTTTTACAAATAAAATTTTATTGGAACACAGCTGCTTTGGGATAAGGGAAGAGCTGAATAATTGTGACAGATAGTATGGCCCCAAAAAACAAAAAATACTTTCTGGTTTGCAAAAAGTTTGCCAACCCCTGCCCAACACCCTTGTACAATTCAATTTGTTTTACCTTTGTCAATCTAACAGGTGAAAATGACAGCTCACTATAGCTCCCAATTATATTTAACTTATTTTGAAGTTGAACAGCTTTTTACATATTATATACTTGTATTTCCACTTTGTGAACTGTTTCTTTGCCCATTTTTTTTCTACTGGGTCCCTGGTAATTTCCTTATTAATTTATAGGCCTTTGTTATGAAAAATCCCAGATAGAAATCATATCAAAAATAATCATACAGATTAGAAAATAAACTATACAAGTGAAATCTCCATGGCCTTCCCCAACAGCATCATTTTCCCTCTCCTCCCTATACAATCACTAAGAATTCTGAATCTTGTTTCTGTTGTTAGGTGCTGCTAAGTCGGTTCCGACTCACCTGTATAAGGTTTCCAAGGAGCGGCTGGTGGGTTTGAACCACTGATAAGCAGTCTCAGTATGTTTTAAATTTTTATACAAATCATCACATACTGATATTCTTTTGCAACTCACTTAACATGTTTTCAAGATATATTCCATATTTCAGAATGCTTCTAAATTCACTCTTCACTTCTGAATGGTACTTATTATGTTTTTGAGCTATCTGTGTTGATACTCTATATCTTAACTGCCATATAGAAAAAAATTTTTGAGAATAATTGATGTTGATATATGTAGATTTTTCATAGTTTAACATGTTAACTATCACAGAGTTTTTCAATGGATAACAAACCACAGTTCATCCTTTCTTCCACTGAGGGACATTTAGAATGGTTCTAATTTTTCACTGTTATAAATAATGTGGCTAAGGGCTCTTCTGTAAGGTACTTAATTAGACTGCTTTCAGTCAGATGTGTGGCAAATTCTTTCCTACAATTTGTCATTTGTCTTGTTTTTTTCTTATTTTCATACAGAAAATTATTTTCAAGATCCAAATATATCAGTATTTTCTTTTATGGTTTCAAGGTTTTGTGTCAGGCTTGGAAAGTGAACTTTACTTTTTCATCAGCAAGCGTGGCGATAATAGGAAGTCAACTTAATACAATTTCTGTGCAGATTAAATGAGGTAGTGTATACAGAATAATGAAATGTCAGCCAAAGTGCAAGGCATGCGCACACACACACACCTTGTAAAAAAGAGTCATGTAAGATTTCTTTCTTTGCTTTATACACTTGTATCTCAACCTGGACACTGTTTTAATGCTTGGAAATATATCCTAGTAAAAAGAAATGACTTTCTAAGATAGATAAAAGAAACATTAAGGGATAAAGCCCTACCAAAGATTGGGCCTGAGGAGCCTGAGGAGTTTGCTGGTTCATTGACACATTGGATCCAGGGCCAGGCCCAGCTCCATGGACTACCTGAGGGTTGCCTGCAATCAGTGTTGGGATATTTGTCTGACGATGCAGAATTTTCTAAAAAAGTAAAAAGACAAACCTATGAGCTATCCATTTAATAAAGCAATCAGGCAGAACCCACTGCACCCAAGTTTTAGCCTACCACTTTCACAGAATAACAAAAACACTCACCAGGGCAATCTCCGGATCCACAATTCGCATCACCACCTGAGCTTGCAGCAAGGCATAAGCCAATTGAGGGTTCTGAAGCAACATGTTCCGTGCTTCCTGGGGACTATTCTGGACACAAAGCTAGAAGACAGGCAGATTTCATCATCAGGTTCAAGACTTACTACTTAGAGGTCTATAGTGATGTAGTATTATTCCCATTTGAGAAATACAATATTCAAAAGGCTCTTTAAGGATCATTGATTTTGCATAGTATGTAAAGTCTTCGTCATGGCAGGCAAGAGTAGGAAGAAGCATTTCAAATACCTTAATACTTTAATTTAGGGGAAAAAAAATTTTAATATTTAGATCTGATTTCTATGAGTCAAAAACGCAGTCACATTGTTTGTGTGGGTATGTTTGTGTACAAAAATGGGAAGCTCATTGCACAAAATGTAAAATACATTATACACACATAGAATATTGAAGGTGCAGGAAATGGCAATCTACAGGCAAACCTATGTGAGCTCAGGGAACCATTTCCACTGTGTATCAGTAACTCCACACCTCTTTGAGTTCAGGGAAGTATTTTCACTGTTTATCAATCACTCCTTTAAAATCTGATGTGATTTGATTTGTTCATAACCTAATACCTCCTCCCACCTTCATTTGTTTCATCAGCTCAAACATCTGTTCTGGTGGAAGACTGGCAACTGCTTTGCTAATGGACTCAGGGGCATCCTCAGGACTGATGGTCTCGCCATAAGGTGACTCAATGACAGGGGCACCAGTGCCAAGGCCTGATCAGGAAGAAAGTACAAGTTAAGGAGACAAAATAAAGAACTAAATCACCTTAAGAATCTACTTTCCAGTACTACTGTAAGGACTGATTGATAACTTTAAAATTCTCTGCAGCTGAGAAATGAATGACTTGCAAGGCTCTCGTTTCTGTGGAAATAAGTGACAGAGTATATTTTCTGCTCTCAGATAAAAGAGGGAGGGGACCATTAACATACATACAATGTTAAACTATGCATGTGAATTTCATTTGAAAAGACACCCTAAGAAGCAAAAAGTTTAAATAGAGAAGAATGTTAATTTCAAAACAGAATTCTTGGATCTATTATTACTCCATGGGTAAAAGAGGAGGAAGGTAAGAATGCCTTGTACTCTACCAGTTAAAGATATGGCAACATAGTCAAAGGAGTGTGAAACACTAACATAATTCACACCTACTGATGGCTTGGTGAGCCTGAATATATTCAACTTTAACTGAAAATCAATTTCTTGGCAATGACGGACGTTCAATGTCAACTTTACCTTGTTTCTCAAAGATATATACTTCCCTAACTCAGGCACCTCAAGTCAATCAAGTAAAACTGTGTGGTTAACCATTTCATCATATTCTAGAATATACCCTGAACAAAAAATCTTCAGATACATCTTTATTTACCTATATTTCATACAACCTGAGTTTATACTTACTCTTCAGCTCTTCTTTGTTCTTCTCACTAGCAGCATTATCCACTCGAAGTGCTCTACCACTGAACTCACGTCCATTCAGGTTCCGCATGGCACTAAGAGCCGTCTCCTGGTCTTGGTATTCACAGAAGCCATAACCCTTTGGTTTTCCTGTTTCTCTGTCATACACCAATCTAGAAAGCAAAACCAAGTGTCGAACACAAACGTTACATAGACATATAGGATTCTTGCTAACATGTCCATGCTATAATTTGGCCTACTATAGGGGAAAACCATACAATTCTGATTTTGCCTCACGTAAATCTTCGTAATCATTTTCTTAAATGAAAACAAAAATCTTTTAGATAAGAATGCATGTCATCAATCCTATCCCCTCTGTACACAGGGTTGATAGGGATGGGCAACTTAAACACTGGCTACCTAAAATGGGGGGGGGGGCGGGCAATAAAGGCACGAAGTGACTGGCTTACAAGTTTTCAAGAGGGAGTGTAGTTTAAGAGTGTGAGGAAGAGGGGGAAGTAGAGTCCCCACTGAATAGTTTTCATCTTGTCTAGATGGGTCTGGTGAAAAAGAAATGGGGATAAGATTCCTATGATTCAACAGTGAGAAATTGTTATCATGACTAATTGTGACTGTCACAAGTGTAAAGGTAGAAGTTTTGTAACAAAAATGGGGAAGTAGTTAATCTTACAGTACAGAAACAGAGGACCCTACAACCATATCAAAAGAGAAGAGTACAGGCAGAGTGCGGGACCCTATCCAGAGAAGCAGCGACACCAGAAATGGAGGCAGAGATGAGGACATGGAGAGAGGGAGCAGCTGAGGACTCTGGACTCATGAAAAGAGAAGGATTGGGTACTGGCAGCCAGGAGGTAGGCTTGCAGAATGTGCCCTTTGGTTATTTAAATTATTATATATTCTTGGGTGTTTTTGTGTCATCTAAAAAACAAACAAACAGAGGGAATAGAAGCAAATACTGTTGAATGATGATGCACAGAGGAGACTGTAATCACTGCAATGAAACAATGAGTGTAAACCGATGTTCTCCCATGTAAACCATCACTCAATTCACAATAAAAACTTGAAAAAAAAAGAAAAAAGAGTGCATGTCAATTTTATGGTGTATGAATTATACCTTGTTGCTGCTGTTAAGTGCCATTGAGTCAGTTCCAACTCATAGCAACCCTATATAGGGTTTCCGCGGAGCAGCTGGTGGGTTTGAACCGCAGACCCTATGGTTTGCAGTCCTGCGTTGATCCTACAGCACCACACCAAAAGTCCAAATTATACCTTAGCAAGGCTCTTATAAAAAATGAAGAATGCATGTAAAACAGTCACCAGTTTAAAAACAAAAACAAAAAAAATTCCCAGTATTCTTAATGGCCAGATTTGTGGTGATTTTTAAGAAGAAACCTCTACCAAGAAGCAAAAGAAGGGAATCTTACCTGAAACTAACAACAGGTCCAACCTCAGAAAAGATATCCTTTAATTGCTCTTCAGTAGCTTCATAAGGAATGTTCCCCACTAAGGACGAAAACAAGTGACATATTAAAATCCTGAACTTGTAAACTAGATGAGAAATGAGAAAGCAAACAATATAATCTTATCATTGAATATATAACTGTCTCAAAAGTGTTCTTTAAATCTTAGTTCATGGTGTTCCCTCAGACACTAAATAAATAAATAAACCACTGAGGACATTAACTTTAAAAAGTGTTTACTGTTGTTGTTAAGTGCTCACAGCGACCCTGTATAGGGTTTCTGAGGAGTGGCTGGTGAGTTTGAACCACAAACTTGTAGTTCAAAGCAACCTTGACGTCTAGTGCTTATTCTACAGCACCACACCAGGACAACTCCTAAATGTTAATTCTCAGACTGATGTGACAAGTTTAGATTTTTCATAACTTTTAAGCATAAGTATTTATCTGAAGGTATCCAAGTTTTATTTCCCACCTAATAACTTCTAAGGAGCTCTGGTAGCATAGTGGTTACAAATCGGGCTGCAAACCGCAAGGTCAGCAGTGTGAAAACTACCAGCTGTTTCAGGGGAGAAAGATAAGGCTTTCTGCTCCCGTAAAGATTTACATCCTTGGAAACCCTGTACAGGGTTACTATGGGTCGGAATCGACTCCATAGCACATAACTACCACCAATAACTTCTAAAAATATTCTAATTTTCAACACTGGCTTAAATGTCCATATTTCCACATGCATACGCACACTTACAGGAGCTCTGGTAGCGCAGTGGTTACCAGTCAGGCTGCTAACTACAAGATCAGCAGTTAGAAACTACCAACCATTCGGCAGGAGCAAGATGAAGCTTTTGGCTCCTGTAAAGATTTACAGCCTTGGAAACCCTGTACAGAGTTGCTATGAGTCAGAACCGACTCCACGGCACACCACCACCACCACCACGCACACTTAGGTAAGAAAGTCCAAGAATGCAGTGGAGGATGATTACAAATTATTCTGAATTGTTTTGTCACATCCCTTTTCAAAATGTGCTTAAAAATTGGTTCACATACTTTGAAGAAAAATGGGGTATTTCGGCAGAATTTTTTTTTTTAATTCAGAATATATTCAATCCTCTTTAGAATTCTTCGACGAGGTGTTACTCGCTCATTGCATTCATTCATTCATTCACACTTCACCTCAGGACACCACTACATAGGAAAACTGTTACTGGTAAAAGAAGAAAAGAAGTCCTTTATCAAAGGGCAGAAAGCAGGCACAGAGATCTACTCCACCATTTAACCTGCATTTTAGAAAAGGGGGTGAGTAGAAGAAGACAGTGAGAGATTGTCGCCATGCACCCTCGTTTCCGACAATAACTAGTTCAAGAAGGGATAAGCGAGTAGGGGCTGAACGCTCGCCTAACTCCCTCCACAATATCGCAGAAAGGCTGCGGGACCTGGGGAAAAGGGAAGCATCTCTGCCCACAAATCCACCAGGTTAGCCGCCCACAGGATAAGCAGGTACTAGCATAAGCGGGTTCCACGTCCAACCCATCACCGGTTCCGGATCATGTGATGGGAGAGTTGCAGAGGGCTTTCTTCGCCGCTCCCTGCCTCTTCCTGCCCTTCCCAGTCGCTGGGCTCCATCGAATTCCCCTCACCGAACACAGAGCGTAGCGAACGATCCACCGCAGGGTCCCGCACAGTTAAACCCGCCATCGCTCTCTTTAGGCGGCTTCCGGTACACTAAGCACACTTCCGTACGGCGCGTGAAACCAGCGCCGACTACGCTTCCGTACGGCATGTGAGCCGGAAGCGCTTGGGCTGGTGGACGCAGGGCGCCTCCCTAGCGTCATTCCATCCGCCACAGGCTCCGTTTGCGTCGTTAAAAACAGTAACCCCATTACGCAGTCAATTGCCCTCAGATAATAACTCTGTTCGGAGCTAGTCTGACGAATACAGGCTAAATGAAGACTTCGTTTGTGGAATTCGTTGATAATCATTTTCTCTTAGATCGAGGCATCATCTACCATAATAAAGATGACAGCGGCAGTTTTTACCATGGTAACTGGGAGCTCACTTACTAACAAACTGGTGGTTATATGCCGTGGAGTCTGTTCCGACGCATATTGAGGAACCCTGCACAGGGTTTCCGAGGCTGTAAATCTTTACGAAAGCTTCATCTTTCTCCCGCGGAACAGCTGGTAGTTTCGAACTGCTGACCCTGAGGTTAGCAGCCTATACCAACAACAACAACGCTACCAGAGCTCCTTTACTAACAACTGGAACACCTGAATTTTGGTTCCACCTTATTAAAGGATGGAAATGCAGGCCCCCGCCCCAGCAGCGTGCCTACTATCATTTTGGTAAAGCAGTGCATGTAGGGATTGTGGTTATGAGAGTCTTGCCAGGCAAGAAAAAGCGGCCGCTTCGTGCCAGTACACAGTACAAGACAGCCAAGGGTTTGGAGAGGTAAAGAAAATGGACCCTTGTTTGCTCTCCTGTACGCCTGAGGGTCTATATGCTTGGTGGTGGTAGGGGCCAGTGGAGCACACTACTGTAAACAGCGTAAAACATTGATTGGTGGTACCAAACTCTGTCGAATTGCCAGGTTTGAAAGAATGTACTTAAGGAATCCACTGCCACTGAGTCGATTCCAACTTACGGCAACACCACAGAGCAAATAGAATTGCTCCATAGTTTCCAAAATTGTAATCTTTATGCAAGGGGTATGCCACATCTTTCTCCCATATAACTGCTGGTGGGTTGGAACCACTAACCTTTTGATTAGCAGTGCTGAGCCAGCTGTGCCTCCAATACTCCTTACAGCACTGTTGGGGTTGGGGGGTGCGGGGAGGAAGGAATCAAGAATACTCTCTTTGAAGGAGTTTTGGTCCGAAAAGGAAAGCGGAGATGTTAAACATATCTGCAGAATTTGAGACAGATATTTCATTAATTCCAGATAGAAGTATGTGTGTGTAGGACCTGTCTTTAAGTATGAAAAAAAAAAAGTTTTTTAGAAAATAAATGCTGATTCTTTCTGTGGAGTGTATCATTTTAAGTAGTGATTTGGACAAAAATAGAAAGTCTTGGGAGAGTTCTTTCACTTCCATGACTCTGAATTCCCACTTGCAGTTACTGGGTGACCAAGAAAATACCTTGTGTAATAAAACAGTAAAAAAAAAAAAAAAAGAAAAAAAAGGTTTACAGCTTTGTAAAAGGCACAGTTTCAAAGAGCATGGGTGGGCCATTGTCCCATGTGGTGAACTTTCAATAAATGCATGTATGGCCATCTATATATCTCCCTAGTATTTCTAAACTTGAATGAACAAAAGACTCACCTGGAGTGCTTACGTAGGAGTAGAAATGCCTGAAGATCCACCTCAGGCCTCTGGAATGAGATTTTAGGGGAGGAATCTGAGAATTACTATTTTGAATTAAGTACCCTTGATGATATAGTGTTGTTAAATGCCATGGAGCCAGTTTTAACTCATCGTAACCCTATATAATGTTTTCAAGGCTTTAAATCTTTTGCGGAGTGACTGATAGACTCGAATTGCTGACCAATGTTTATCCTATGGAATTACCACAATCCCTTTGATAATATTTGGTGCTGTTGTTGTTAAGTGCCAGCAATTTGGCAGCATTGTACCTATTAAGGTAGCCGTATAGCAACGTTTAAGGCAATAATGTTATCTTATAAAACTATCCATATAATAGTTCCCAAATCTGTGGAAAGAGATTATGGAGAAGGTCAGTATCCACCTAAACAAGATCAGAGGCCAACTGTGAAACAGACCATCAAATGCTCATAGCAAGTTCAGGCTGTAGCTGAAGAGAATTAAAACAAGTCAAGAGAGCCAAAATACCACCTTGAGCATATCCCACCTGAAGTTAGAGATCATCTCAAGAATAGATTTGTGCTATTTAAGGTTTTGTGTCAACTTGACTGGGGCAGGATTCCAAGTGATTTGGCTGTTGAGATAGGGTTATCCCCATGGTCAGATCTACTAAAATTTAGTTAACTCTGTGATGATTGACTGTGAGTACGCTTATTTGTGTTATTATCTGTCTGTCTACGTGTTGGACATGCCTGGTTCATCTGACCCAGACTTGGGACTTTCCCACCTCTATAATTGTGAGCCATTTCTTTCTCCATATACATATATACATATGTATATGTGTGTGTGTGTGTAGAGAGAGAGAGTGAGCGAGTGAGCTCTGGTAGCATAGTGGTTACGAAATATATATATATATATAAGTTTCACCACTTTATCTTCTCTAGAGAACCCAACCCACACAATATGATACATTAGATTAATGACCAAAGACTAGAAGAGATGTAGAATGGCATAAAAAAAAAAATACATGAAGAAAACAAAATGTCATTAAAAATAAAGGAAAGAAAGAAAGAAAAAACCAAAATGAATGTTAAAAGTGACTCTGAAACTTGCTGTTTACTCTAGAGAAGCAAAAAGACTGGAAGAAATGAGGAAGTAATGGAACTGAACGGAAAATTTCAAAGGGCAGCTCTAGAAGACAAAAGCAATCATTATAATGAAATGTGAAAAAACCTGGAATTAGAAACCAAAAGTTAACAACATCCTCAGTATTTCTCAAGATGAAAACACTTGAAGAAAAAAAGCCAAGCCTTGAGTTGCAATATTAAAGGATTCTATGAAAAAATATCCACCACTCATCTGTCAGTTTGTTGTATTGTGGTGGCTTGTGAGTTGCGGTGATTCTGGAAGCTCTGCCACCGTTATTTTAAATACCAGCAGTATCACCCATGGTGGGCAGGTTTCAGATGAACTTTTAAAGGAAGACAGATTAGGGAGAAGGAGAGACAAACTACTTCTGAATATTTAGTCACTAAAAACCTTATGAATAGCAGAGAAACACTGTCAGATATAGTGCTGGAAAATGTGCCCCTCAGATTGGAAGGCACTCAAAATGCAACTGGGGAGGAGCTGCCTCCTCAAAGTAGAGTTGACTGTGATGATGCGAATGGATTAAAGCCATCGGAACCTTAATTTGCTGATGGGACACAACTCAAAATGCAGAGAAACAGCTGTAAATATCCATTAATAATTGGAACATGGAATGTACGAAGTATGAATCTAGGAAATTGGAAATTGTCAAAAATGAAATGCAATGTATAACATCGATATCTTGGGCATTAATGAGCTGAAATGGACTGGTATTGGCCATTTTGAATCTGACAACCACAAGGTCTGCTATGCCATGAATGAAAAATTGAAGAGGAATGGTGTTGTATTCGTTGTCAAAAAGAACATATCAAGATCATTCATGAGGTACAACGTTGTCTGTGATAGGATAATATCCACGTGTTTACAGGGAAGCCCAGTTAATACCATTATTATTCAAATTTACACACCAATCACTAAAGCCAGTGAGGATGAAATAGAAGAATTCTACCAACTTCTTCAACCTGAAATTGATCAAACATGCAAGCAAGATATATTAACCAAGTGGTTGATCTTGCAGTCCAGGAGTGGAGGACCCTAGAACTATCAAGGGAGAAGAGCGGAGTGTGGGACCCTATCCAGAGAAGTAACGACACCAGAGATGGAGGCAGAGATGATGACATGGTGAGATGGAGCGACTAGGGACTCTAGACTCAGGGAGGAAGAGGGGCTGTGTGCTGGTGGCCAGGGGGTAGGCTTGCAGGGTGTGCCCTTTGGTTGCCTAAATGGTTATATATTCCTGAGTGTTTCGGTGTACATAAAAAAACAAAACAGGGAATGGAAGTAAATGCAGTTGATGATGCATGGAGCGGATTGTAATCTTTGCAATTAAATGAAATACGATAGGATGAATGTAAAGCCGATGTTTTCTTATGTAAACTATCAATTCACAATAAAAACTTTAAAAAATCCATTGTGGGGCTGAAGAAAGAAAAATATATTACTGGTGATGCGAATGCAAAGGTTGGAAGCAAAGAGGAAGAAGAGGGAGGATCTGTAGTTGGAAAATATAGCATTGGTGATAGAAATGATGCTGGAGATTGCATGATAGAATTCTGCAAAACCAATGATTTGTTCATTTCAAATACCTGCTTTAGACAGCATAAGAGATGATTATATATAGTGACCTCACCAGATGGAACACACATAAATCAAATTGACTACATCTGTGGAAACAGATGGTGGAAAAGCTCCATATCATCAGCCAAAATAAGGGCAGAGGCAGATTGTGGAACAGACCATCAATTGCTCATATGTATTTTCAGACTACAGCAGAAGAAAATGAAAGCAAGTCCACAGGAGCCAAAATATGACCTTGAATATATCCCACCTGAATTTAGAGATCATCTGAAGAACATATTTGATACATTAGACACAAAAGACCAAAGACCAGAAGAGTTGTGGGATGGCATCAAGAATATCATACATGAAGAAATCAAAAAGTCATTAAGAAGACAAGAAAGAAGGAAAAGGTCAAAATGGATGTCAGAAGAGACACTGAAACTTGCTCTCCAACATAGAAATGCTAAAGCTAATGGAAGAAATGAGGAGGTACAAGAGCTGAACAGAAAATTTCAAAGGTCAGCTTGAGAAGACAGAGTCAAATATTACAATGAAATGTGCAAAGATCTGGAGTCAGAAAACCAAAAGGGAAGAACACACTCAGCATTTCTCAAGCTGGGGGAACTGAAGAAAAATTTAAAGCCTCGACTTTCGTTATTGAAAGATTCT